CAATTCGAAAGCACTGGATAATCGTGAATATAATTAAGAAAAATCGTACATTCTATGCTTATGTATATATATGTAAGCTATTTACAACTTTTGGGGATAATTATTCGTATAACACGGTCTCTTATAGTTTGGGATGCATTTTGTGTCTGTCATCCAAAGCCGCGTGTCTTTATAGATACAAGAATAAGACTTCAAGTTTATGCAAGAAACATGCAAGCAAAAAATACTGCACAAAAACAATAGCGTCCCTCTTCCAGCATTTTCAGTGATTGTAGAGTGTTTTAGAATAATATGAATCGTGTGTATTTTACGCGCGCATTTGCCACAGAAGTGCCTTAAAGTCATCACGTTCTGTGAATTTCTCGGTACACGTGCCAAATATACGAATTCGCAATCTCGATGCGGATCCTGCGACGTGCTTGTCCTGTGTGGAATAATGTGTCAAGATATTATAATACAGGTGCCTTATTATAGTACAGGGAAAAATAAGAGCAACTATATTTGTGTAATATATATATTATATATAGTGTGTGTAGAAGCTTTAGTTAGTATTTGTACGCGTCTGTTTCGGCGTTGAATCGACACTTGACATGTACGCAACAAAGATGTGCAAATGCCTTGCCAAAGAAATGATCTCCTCCTACGTGTGTGTGTGTGTGTGTGTGTGTGTGCGTATCTAATTATAGGCCCAGGTCGAAGATGTACGTGGGGGAATTTGGCATTTTGATTTCGTGGAACGATATGGTAGACGTATAATAAGCTGTATGTATAATTTTGGTTCCAGTTTGGTTGTGAATTTACTTTGCGTTGTGTGTAGTTTCACGAAAAAATAAACAAGGTCTTCCCAGCAATAATACAGCTGCTTTCGGTTTATGTGTACGTTTGTGAGTGGAGTGTTTGTGTGTGTGTGCGTGCGTGCGTGCGTGTGTGTGTGTGCGCGCGCGTGTGTGTACGACATCGTAGTCATGGAATCTGAACGAAAAAAAAACATTTCTTACGGGAAAAAACCGCGGAAACTTCGCCAACGATCGGCCGCGAAGAGTGCGAGGAAGCCAGTCGAAATGTCAGCGACGACGAAAGTTTCTTTAGCCGCGTTCATTTGTTGATCAAAGACCGAGAAACAACAATATG